AAAGTTTACAGGGCAAATTAGTTTCCCATTCAACAATGTATACACATTTTGTTTCGTAACATTGATTGCAATCTCCTCAATGTAACAATACTCCCCTCCCCACCCCCCATCCCTCCGGCTTCACAGGTTTCCATTCTCCTGGGTCCTGTCCTAACTACTGTCTGAGCTTTGTGTAGGAGGGAAATGCCAATGCTGCCTTGTGTGACTTGACTGTTCTCAGGGACCCTCCTTCATCCTGGGTATAATTGCTCACTTTTGAGCTAGTCTAGTGTTTGGTTGAAATGTGGCTCCAGGAGCGAGTTCAGTTCTAGTTTGGAAGAGCCTCTTAAGGCCCAGGCTTGGTGGTTCCACTAGTCTTCACAGACCGGTAAATCTTTTTGAAACTCGGGGGTGGGTGGTGGTGTGCGTGCATGCGTGCGTGCGTGTGTGTAGTGGAGGCTTTACATTTCATATCTGTGTGTGTGTGTGTGTGTGTGTGTGTGTGTAAGGGAGGCTTTACATTTCATATCTGTTTTGTATTCAGCAGTTTGAACTACTTTCAGGTGCTGATTTTGCTCTCTTGTAGATTACTATCGTCTCCTTCACCCAGGTTAACTAACACCTGTCAACCCTCCAGCCTGTTGCTTCATCTCCCTTCATTGCCCTCCCCATTGGTAATTTCCAAAGTCTGATCCCTTTGGTATGAAAATGTTTGTCTTAGTTTTTCCCTCCCCTTATAACAGTGGTCTCAATATTTATCAATGCAATATTTATCCATTTGTGATGGTCTAATTTCATTCAGCATACTGTAGTCTTTTTATTCTAAAAATTTTGTTCGACATTTTTTTCTCAGCCTATCTAGTAGCTGGGCACCGTCTAGTTCTTCTGGTCTCAGGCTAGTGGAAGTTACGGTTTGTGTGGGCTGTTGGCCCTTTGGACTGTGTGCTTCCTTTAGTCTTTGACTGCCTTCATTCCCTCTGTTCTAGACAGGAAGAGAAGTCCTTGTATCTCAGATGGCCACTCACAGGCTTTTCAGACTCCAGTCACTGTGCTCCGAAGTAAGATGTAGAGTAGCATTATCTGTAAGCGTTACGTTATACCAGTTGAGTACAATGACCCCGATCTGTGGCCCTAAGGTCTCAAGCCCCGTGACTCAGTCCCTCGAGGTGTTTGGCTATGGCTAAGAAGTTGGCATAGTTCTTCCCCTGGGTGCTCTACATAACCAGATGTGCTTGTAGCACATACTCTTCCTTACGTAGAACTTGACCCTCCCAAAGCTGTGTACATGTGTGCGTGTGCTCTCATATGACATGGCACATCCTTTCCCTTTACAGCTCTGCCTATGTGCTTATCCATAAATTAGTGTTTGCAGTGACTGGTACTGCGGGAGTGTGTGTGTAATAGTATTTACCATTGCTGCCTTTTGCTCTTGCGTGCCTGCCAGGGTCTGTCTGCCTTTGCCTAGCCCGTGTTGTGCTGGCCTCTCCTTTATGGTCTGTTTCCTTTCCTTTCACTCAAGTGAATGTCTCCTCTCTAGGTAGTGATCACACACACTCACACACACACACACTCACACACATCCGCTGTAACCATCAAGTCAAAAACGCTTCTTTCTGTGTGTGAACCCTGTATGTTGTCTTTTTATAGTAGTGGTCTCAGGCCCTTTTGTGGTTGGCTGCATTCAGCGGGATGAATTTCCTCCAGCGTTTTCAGTGCTGTGAAGTGTTTGGGAGATTTACCATTACTCTTTAGTGCTGCATAGTATTCCATTGGGTTTAAATACCGTAGTTTGTTTATTCATTCACTCATGGGCACTTGGCCTATTGCCATCTTTTTTACTGTTCTGAATCATGCGTGATGAATACAGGCGTGTGTGTGTGTGTCTATTTGTGCCATCGCTCATATTTCTCTAGAATAGATTCCTAGTAGTAGGGTTACTAGATCATACGGTGTCTCTTTTAGTTTTTAAAGGAAGCACTGTACCATTTTCCCCAGTGGGTGTGCTATTTTCTGGTAAGATTATTTTGCTGTTAGAAGGTAATTCAACCCCTGCTCACATTTTCTCTCAGCTAATGTTGTTGGCAAAATAAAAAATGCCTTCTCTGCTTCCCGAGCAGGTGCAACCCCCTTTGGCAGCATGCGTCCTGGTTTTGCTAAGAGTGCCCGAGGGCCAAAGGAAATTCCTTCCTGGCCAGCCCTTCCCGTCTCCCACCCCTCTGGACCTGACCGGGTTTCTGTTTCCCTTCATGGAATAAGAACGTTCTACAGAATCTTTCCTCTGCCTGGAATGCTCTTTTCCTTGTGGCGATGTTATCTTTAAGAAAGTGCCAGGCACAGGAGAAAGGAAGAGGGAAGGAGAGGGAGGGGAACACTTCCTGGCCCACCGAGCCCTGAGGACGATGCTCCTGCTCAGAGCAGACAAAGCACAGCGAGGGCCATAGGGTCAGCCCCACCACAAGACACGGCGTCCCTCACTGAACCACAGCACTATGGGGGAACAACACTGGAGACACAGTGCGGGAATTGCACCCAATCTGACCCCATCACGCTAGGGCGAAACACTAAGGGCATGCAACAGAGCAGCAAGAGGAGCAAAGTGAGGAAATCCCCGGGGAACACCAAAAATAGACTTTGGGGACAGTGTGTGGGACCCCATCAGACTCAACTGGAGAACACTCATAAAGGGCAACAAACAGACCTTGAACAATTTATAGGCTTTTCCATTTTTGTCAGTGGCTCTCTTCGTTATTTTGTTTTTGTTCTGTTGGTTTTGTCTTCCTTTGTTGTTTTGTTTGGCTTTGCCTGTTTTTGCGCTTATTGATATCTCTGCATGTCTATCTAAATATGATAGGTGGGATAAACAATTTGGAGACAAAAAGAACGGGACCGATGGTTGGGGGGTGGGGATACGGGAGAAGGGGGAGCAAGGAAGAGGGAGGGGAGAACTACAAGTGAACTAAAATCAATGGAGAGAAGGGCGTAGGATGTCTAGTGGGGCTTAATCAAGG